AAAAAAAAAAAAGAGAATTGTCTTTGAAACCCATTATCCAAAAAATAAAAAAAACTTTGATGTAAAACATGCCTTCAAATTCTTTTGCGTTAAGGCTTGAGTTCCTTTTGTCCCATTAATCCACAAACTCTTATGATATGGTGCCCACGTTAATCTAGCAGTCTCAATACAATGGACTAGTTTTGATTAGAGAGGAAAGCATAAATATTCCTTTTTTGTTTTTTTGTTTTTTTCTCATTCATCAATTTATTGAGAACATACTAACTGCAAAACTTTGATTATAAAGTTAAAAATTCAGATTTTACAATCTCTTATGTGAGCTAGTAGTGGCCACGCTACTCATTGTGCAACAGTTGAAATACACGCTGATCATAAGTTAAACTCTCTCAAAAAATAGATACTAACTAACATAATCCAAAATTTCTTATTGTAAAAAAAAAAAAAACAAAAATCAGATTTCAAATCACTGCCTTGGCTAATGTTTTGCACTAACTTCCTCACATAAAAGGAGACATGATGAGGAAGAAGAAAATCAACATACCTCGATTTCTCTCATTACAATCATCTATGATCCATGTAATTCAAAAAATATATATTAACATTAAGTTTGGACTAATGTTAAACTAAGGATAATGAAAAGTTTTATTTTAGATGGTTTTGGGTTCAACAGGAAGGACCTTCTTCACGATCTTCCGACCCAGTTCTTGAGCCTGAGCATCAAGGACTTTTATGGTCTCCAACTTCTACCTCTCCAGATTGGCCAAAGCCTCTGCCAACTCCGCCTCCACTTTCTTCCTCCCTTCCTCCAGCATCTGCTCAGGCTGAGTTGTAGGATCCTGCTGTGTAGAATTGGAAGAATTAGGGATGCAGTTGTGGTGGAGTTGGAGAGGCACATTCTTCAGAGGGCTATATCTTTCTTCGCCACACAAAATGGTGGGAGGAAGAAGGTGACTCTGGATATTTCACAGGTGTGGTATGTGTGCAAGGGAGTCTGGGTTCTACGTGGGCTTCATTGGGCCTCTCTTGGGCTTAGTTTAAGCCCTTCAAAGCCCAATAAATTATCCACATTCGACCATCTGTACCCTTTGTTTGCTAAATTTAGTAATTAGTCTATTAATTATTGACCTTTTATCATTTTAGTCTAGAAAGTTCATTGTCTTCTAAAATGATACAGTATAAAAAGCAGATTTGCCACGAGAAGGCGAGAGCAGAAGTTCAGACTCCAAAAAAAAGAACCTTTTGTTTTTTTTTTTTTTGATTTGCCAAAAAAAAACCTTGATTCTCTATCTTCCGCATTGCTTTAAAGCACGTTCTAGAAGTTTCTTAAGATTATCCTAGAAACTACTAACAACTAGATCTTGGGGACAAATTATGTCTCTGCTGCATCTTGTTCTTCCATTTCGTAGTCAGCTTGGAATAAATTTGCCATAAGTGACTTGAACTGCATTTTTCATGTACAACTATCTAATTGTTGTGATGCTGGTATTCCCATTTGCCGTATCATCATAGTTATTGACTTCTTCGTAAATTTGTTTGTACTCTACGTTTGATCTTGGTAAGGACCTGCATGTTTCCAATGAGCAATATCATCCTTTGTACATTGAGAAAGAAATATTTCTTTTCCAGAACACTAATACCTTCCAACAATATGTTATGACAAAAACTAATATGTATCTGAATTTCTTGAATAGTAGTGCTTGGAAGAAAATGACACGAATCCTACACATATTCTTGTTTGAAACATAAATCCATAAACAAGGACAGACAATGAGACGAATCTTACATATATCCTTGCTTGGAAGAAATCTCCCTTTTCTTGGCTTGCTTCTTTGTAGGGTTGCAGCTGATTGAGATATGCCGAATAAAATGAAGCTGAAGAACAGAAACACGCATGAATAAATAATTAGGAAGAAAACCTTTGAAAAAATTGGGAAGAGAAAGTTGAAAGCATTGGAACTCTACAGACACATTCCGAATGACAACAAGGCGCAGCCTGATGAGATTCTACAAGAATTGGCAGGAATAACTAAAAATTGTAAAAGAAAGGGGGAAAAAATCAACACTTATTAGGTTAAAGTAAAAGAACTGTGCTGCAGAAGGCAACTCAAAGTCTTTTTTATTTTCTTATTTCATGTCCTTGATGGACAGACACTCTGGATACACCCCAACACTTGGAACACTTGAGCATCCATCTTTCCTAACCAAGCAATGGTACCTGAATGGAAATGTCCCCATTTTCAGGATTATGGGAACTAATCAAAACCAATAGTAGTGTTCAAGATTAGTCCTGTTTAGGTTATCTCTGATCAACCAACTAGTTCACACGAATGTTTTAAATTTAACCAGCTGCTCAATTTTTCTTCGTCAAAATTCTCAAAACACTTGAAAAACACAAAGCAACATCTTAAGCCAGTGACAGTAGTTCATTGCAAGTGTTCTATTGTGAAGAACAACATAACTTTGTAAGCAGTGATGTTACTCTTGTGAAGCTATATATAACAAATATGTGTATAAAAGTCGCATACAAGCAAAGAACTCAAAAAAACAGATAATTGATGAACATGTAAAACTCTTCAATTGCCTATAAAAGCATCCACATTGTCTTTCGGTACACAATTGTTTAAGATTCACAAAGCTAGAGAAAAAAAAAAATAACAAACGCATGTCCAAACCTGATCTCCATCGTTGATGCCGTAGTTTTTGATGTGATCAGTATCTGTAACTAGCTTTTGACCTTCATAGGACAAGCAAAAGTGCCCCCACACATGCGACCTTCATGTTGCATTCAAATCACAAAAGCAATTAAATGTTAATAATGCATGACCAAAATTGGCTTATATTCCATTCATTGCTAGCCAAATATGAAGAGGCAGTCAATTAATTCACATATATGGCAATAAGAGAAAGAAATTGAAACTATAGAACTTAATAATAACAAACAAAACAAGTAAAGAACATGCCATGAAATCTTGTTTAGAACATGACTGAATACGGCCTGCACTGCTAGCTTGAGATCTGCAATGGTGGCTGATTTTGTCACGTCAACATCTGAAAACCAAATAAGTCAAATTCAAATATATAAGGTATTCTCCTTTTTTTTTCCCCCCGTTATCCGAAATATAAAGAACATTAGCCATTCTGAGTTTCCTCTTAATTTTCTCGGCAACCAAACACAAACCACAGAATGGATAGGTTGAAAAGAGAGAGATTTACCAAAGGAAGAGCCGTCCAATTTGAGAACGGAGAGCTTGATGGGCTCATCGGGGAGCCTAGAATACGAGAAACTATTGCGAGGGAACCCATCCATTATTTCCATCGGAGATAAGGCCAACGACACAGACCTCCGAAGCCTGTCCATTGGAAGAACTCTCGGAGGCACATCTCCTACCGTGAATCTAAACATTCCGCCTTCAGGGAAAAAAAAAAAAAAAAACCTTTAAATCGACGCAGAAACAAGCATTGAATTGCCACTACTATTGTTTGTGCTGATAAATAGGACACTGAGCCTAATAGATGGCAGTTAGGGTTTAGGAGAAAGGAAAAATTAGCATCGAGATCAGGATTGGGATATAGAAGAAAAGAGATTCAATGGTATTTGCTTTGCTTTCGGGTCTGCGTTGTGGTTGTGATTTGGTTCTCGTGGAAGATGATAGTTGGGAAATCCTAACGGTTAGTTTGTTACGCGCCATGCCGTTACCAGAACTATATATATTTGTTGGGCTGTATCATAAACATAATTTTTTTATATTATATTTTTATAAAATTTTTTGTTATTAAATAAGTAAATATATTTAATATTATGGATTTCATATGAATTAAAAAAATCAATCATTTTAATTGGTTCTTCGATTTTCATTATCCTAAACGCGAATCGTCAAAGAACGTAATTTTTTATATTATATTTTTATAAAATTTTTTGTTATTAAATAAGTAAATATATTTAATATTATGGATTTCATATGAATTAAAAAAATTAATCATTTAAATAACACGTCAAGTTATACAAAAATATAAAACAAAAAGATTGTATAAAAGTTATTTCTCATATTTGTTTAGCTAACGAGAAAATTCAATTAATTCAACTCCGAAAATAATTTTTTTAGTAATAATATAGTTACAATAAGGAAAAAGAAAAAATAAGATGTTATGATATTAATATCAAAATATTTAATAATAATTATATGATAAATTTAATAAAATTAAAATTCACACTATATTTTACATATTTAATGATTATGATTAAATGTCTTAATATTTTTAATATTAGAATGTCTTTTTTTTTTATATATAATAACATATACAATTATATTAATATATTTATAATTATTAAGTAATCAAATAT